TTTACGCGTTCTCTAAATTTACTACTCAAAGTAAGGGAAGCGTTCGGTTTTAAAAAAGTTGCCCAATTGCCGAGCAATTTTCTAAACAGGTAAATGCTACACTCGAATTACAGGTTTAAAACTGCGTACTGTGTGCATTTCTGTTTAAGGAAATGTACAGTTTCACCTACAGTTTGAGGAAGACGTCACCTAGTGGTCATCAAATACTGAAATAGATCTGGAATATATTATATGCAGTATAGGCAGCACTAATAAATTGACGGATACGATTTATTATGGATGAAGACCTAACAATCGTAAAAAAGCTATAATCAGCAACTAATTTAGTCACGATAATCAATTGCGCAACACTGCTTCAAACATTTTTTTTCGAATCGAAAACACATTTCAGAATTTCCGTTGAGATTTAATCAGCTAGGGAGTCTGCGTTAACTTGCTTGAATTCTCATTAAAAATACGCCAGTCTCCCTTGTCTTTGTCGGCAATACTGTCAGCCTTAAATACTAGCCGCTGTGCGGCTTCTGTCAGGGCCCGAAAAATGAGACCCAAGGCAATGTGGGAGGCGTGAGTTGTGTTAGCAATCGGTGAACATTTATCCAATGAGTCATCTACATTGTTTTGAAGCCTTTCCTGTATCTAGAAGTTAGTGACACAAAATTAGCACAAGGATACAGGTTTTCATTCAAACTAGATTATGTTATCTGAAAGCAGTAGTTCTTTTACCAAACTTTTCCAACTGCATTATTTACCTCAAAGAATTCCTTCGATGAACCCAACTTGATGACCCCATACTTCACCTTGGTTTGACGTGCGAGATCCTCGTAGGATTCGATGGGACTTGTCATTCGCTCGACTGTAAGGTAGGCCGCCAAGTTGGCGGTATAAGAACTGATAATGATGAGCGTGAAGAACCACCAGGCTCCACCCACTATGCGTCCAGGCAGCGACCTGTGAGGAAGAAGACAAAACATATGACAGCACGCTAAGTCGGGTTGTTCTAGTCCCCTGCTGTTTGTCCGGTTGCCAGCCTTAGAGGCATGTTAGGAGCCGGCCTGCAGAACTTTGTTTTAAAATCGTTACAAATTCGCAAACTGTCTAAGATTAATAGCCACTACGACTGTGGTCGGTGAACGTTCATCAACGAGTGTGAATTCACAAAAAAGGCTCAAATATAAGTCACCTTACAGGAAGTACGTAGGCCCTGCTTTGAATGCAAAAGCACACTTTTCTTCCGCAACGGTCGACAACACCAACCTACGTAGAGAAAAATTATAAAGATGTACTACAAACACGACTGCTACTGGCGTTCATCGTATGGCTATGTCCGATAAAGCTTCGGCATTTTACAGGAGTACTTTACGAATCTGATTACGTAAAGGAGTCGACTTAAACAGACATGTGTAATTTTCCCAACACTAGAATGTATACTTCGGGTGTTAAGTAAATTACACGAAAACTTGGATAGTTGAACATACAG